ACTGTCGAAGTGGTGCAGGGAGTATGGACCCTCAGTAGCAGAGCTGACCCTTATTCGTTTGAGTGTGCTGGCCAAAAAGATTCCCCCCCATTTCATTGCGACACTGCTGAAGACCTACCTGAATGCCTGGAACACCACAGCTCGGTATCGTCTCGGCACGATTCCCTGTAGACTGGGCTGTGACTTGCATGGTGGAGACAATCTCAGGCACTACTTATGTTGCCCTCACTTTCAGCAAGTTGTGACTGGGCTCCTCCCCCTTCTTCCCTCCTCCTGGGCCTCTGGAGATCCAGCTGGTTTCATCATTGGCGTTCCTAGATATCTGTCGTTCTCTGAATTGCTGAGCATTGCCATTGCCATAGATATCACTTACAGTACTTTTAATCACGTGCGTGTTCATGGTAGATGTAGTCATGCTATGCTCTCCTCCCTCGCCCGTGCGCGCGCCCGCGCAATTGCGGCGGCGTCGCCGACGGTACGGCGAGCGCTCCAAGGGCATCAAGGCCCGTGGGGTGGGGAAGAGGAGGAGGAGCAGCTGATGTGAAGGAGAGGATCTCACCCCACGGAGTGGCGCCTCATCCTCGTCCTTTTCCTATTCTTCTTCTCGGTCGAAGTAGATGCCCGCGGCAGTTCATATACAGACATATCGAAGACGCCTACGGCGAATCACCGCCGCCCCCTGCCTTTTTGGAAGCGCCTATGTGGCCGAACGTTGAGGCCAGACCTGCCAAGCTATCGGACCACGTGTTCCCCAAATCGGTTTGGAAAGCCTTCGGGGAACACGTGGGCATCTTGAAGGTCATCTTGGCCGTCTTGGAGGCCTCTTGGGCAAGCTTTGGGCGATCTTTGGGGCTTTTTGGGCCGTCTCGGGCCAGCTTCGAGCCAACTTCGGCCATCTTGGTGGGTTCCTGGCACGTCTGAAGCCGTCGGAAGCCGTTTGGGGGGCCTCTATGGGCCGACTTGGGGCCCGCTTGGAATGCTCCAGGGCCGTCTTGGAGGCCATCTTGGGCGTCTGGGAGGCCATCTTGGGCGTGTTGGAGGCCTCTTGGGCCCTCTTGGGGCCCTCTAGGGGCCATCTTGGAGGCCACTTGGGCCATCATGGGGCTCTCTTGGGGGCCTCTTGGGCGATCTTGGGGGCTTCTTGGGCCGTCTCGAGCCGTCGGAGAGCCGAAAAGGCGCAAATGCCAGAATCCTTCAAAAACCAATGAAAAATCAATGATTTTGGCCTCTTCGGACTCTCCTGGAGGACCTCTTGGACCGTCTTGGGCCGTCTTGGACTCTCTTGGGCCGTTTTGAAGGCCGTCTTGGACCATCTCGGGCGGACTTGGAGGCCATCTTGGGCCATCTTCGCGATTTTTTGAGGATGTCCCGAGCGAGACGGCCATTTTTTGGAGGATTGTTTTCCGGATTGAGGTCCTTTCGGCTTCCTCCCGGGACCCCGGCGGGACGTGCCGGAACCCACTGAGGAGTTCTTTTGGAAAAAGAACCAAAACCAAAACCTGAATCATCCAGCACGCCGTGCACCCCTGCAAGCAGGGGGCGGCGGATCTAGTGGCTTTCGTCCCATCCCGCCACCGTGCCTCGGCTGTCGGCCTGAGATCCTTGGTGCCTGGGCTGCGGGTTAGAAGTTACACGCCTCAAATGGTACTCGGGGTTTCTTTTGAGCTTCTTGGCGGCCTCTTGGGGCCTCTTTGGGGGCCTCTTGGGGTCCTCTTGGGGCCTCCTGGGGGGCCTCTTGGGGGCCCCATGCGCCCTGTTGAACGCCTCTTGGGTCCCCCTGGGGCCGATTTGGGGCAGAAGGCTAGGATTGTTGATTCAGGCTCCTCCTCTTGGGCCCCTCATTGGGCCGTCTTGGGGCACTCTTGGGCCATCTTGGGAGCGTCTTGGGCCGTCTTGGCGCTCTTTTGGGCCGTTTCGAGCGCCTCTTGGGAACCTGTCGGGCCGTTTTGGGGCCGTTTTGGGGAACTGGAGCCGTCTTCGACGCCGCGCCGCGAAGGCAGAAACAACGTGCATGATACAAGTGTCGGTTTCCCCATCGGAATTCGACGATGTTGGCCTCCTTGGAGGTGCTCTTGGAGGCTTCTTGGGCCGGCTGGGAGGCATCTGGGGCCGTCTTGGGGCCATCCTGGGCGTCGGGGCCCTCTTGGACCGTCTTGGGGGCCTCTTGGGCCGCCTCCATAGCCATTTTGGCTCAAGCCAGTTGGTTCAAGTTCGCTTGGGCTTGCGATGGCGCGGGAGGGCACGCCGAGTTGGCGTCCCAAGGAGTCAGCAGCGGAGCGGAACGCTGCCCGGCAGGCTGCAAAGGGCGCGGCCGACCGTGCAGTCCTGAAGCTCCAGCAGGAGAAGGCAGTTCTCATTCGCGAGTACACCGGCCTCAAGGAGGCAGTTGCTTTGCTTGTCGGCGACACTGAGGTTGGTGACAGGGTTGTTGCGCTCATCCCAGCACTAGCGGCGCGGCTTGCGGGCCGCATCCCTGAACACACCGTCCAGCTGAGGCGCAATGTCGCGCTTCATGCAGAGGTTCCTGCTGGTGAAGAAGTAGCTCGGGCATCGACGCAGCAGCTCCGGAAATGGCAGCACGGATCTCGATTGGAAGTTCGTCATCCTAGCCATCGTGAGCAGTGTCAGGCGGTAGTTTTCGACAGTGCACGGGCAGCACCAGACGGGCCAGTTGTGGTGGATGAGGACAAGCCCGCCGTCCAGGTTGCGGGCAGGGAGGATCCTTGTTCCACATTTTCGCCAAGGCAGGAGGCTCGTGGCACAGCTGTGCTGGAGGGCCAGGTCGGGGTTTCACGTTTCACTTGTTGTGAGTTGTTCTCGTGACTCCGCAGTGCAACAGTTCATCCAGTTTCTGTCGCTGTGCTCCCACCTTCTGCTATTGTGGCTAGCGTTTTTGAACAGTTCCGTGAGCAGCTTTATTCTGCAAAGTGGCTGTCTCTGGATTCTTCGTGCGAGTTTGGCCATGCGAAGGGCATGCTGTGCACCTGTGGTGCCACGCTTTTCTCTGGCTTGAGCTGCGTGCGTTTTGTTCCGGAGCTGCAGGAACCGCTCAGTGGAGCAGAGTTTGATTCCTGCAGGGGTCGAAGTTAGTCCTGCATTTCTCCGCCGTTGTCGAGGGCACAGGATACGATTGTGGTAGAGGACCAGGTCGACGAGGCTAGCTTCACATGTGGTGAGCAGTGTTTCTCAGGCCTGTGTGCTCGTGCTCCAGTCGTTCCTGCTGCAGGGCCTCCCGAGCGAGCGGTACAACCACGGCCTTCATCTTCTGCTTGGTGGAGGGCTCGTGCCTCTCTAGGCCAAGACTTGGCTGGAGCCATCCCCCAGTAACACCGAGGAGGTAGTGAAGGAGTCTAGCGAGTTGAAGTGGCGCAGGACGAGGCCCCCAGGCTGCACTTGTAATTTCCACTCTTTGTCTAGATTGTGTAGGGTATGCAGCAGTGTGAGCACATGGTTCTTGCAGTGAGTCTCGCCCTCTATTCTGGCGTGTGTAGTTGACTTGAATTGGTCGCTCTCGATCTAGTGCATTGTTGAGGCTAGTTGCCGTTTGCTTGCTGGTCGTTTTGCGTTCTGTTCTCTTCTCCTGCACGCAGCTGGATATGGGGTAGTGATTTCACAGTGCTTAGTTAGAACATGTGCAGACAGTATTTGTCCTCTTGATTGAGTAGTGCAGTGGATTCGGCTTTACCTGGAGGGAATCAAAAAGGCCTCTTGGGCCGCCCCAGAGCCCGCGAAGGGCCGGACCCCCCTGGCGAGCTCCGGCCGGACGGCCCCCCCCCTCCAAATCGACCGGACCGGGCTCCAGGGGGAGGGGTTTGGGGAGGGGAAGCATCTCATGCGCCGATGATCCCCAAAGGGGTCGGTGGATTCGTAATCCCACTCCAGCCCGGTGCGAGGCGGTCGGGCAACTTGGCGCAAGATCAGGCTAAATGAAAGGAGCGGGGTGGGGTCGGATCGTGAACGCGGGGTGATGTAGAAGAAGGTGGAGGGGGGTGCGCGGGGAGAGGTGGGCTGTGCAATGAAGCGTGGATGAGGCAAGGCGCTAAGATGCGAAGCGAAGCAAGGTGGGAGTGGGCGAGGAGGATGACGAGGACACAGCCCATCTCTCCCTCCCGTCCCCCCTTTTTCCTCTCATCCCACATCCCTCCTCCACTCGCCCGCCCGCCCACGCATGCCCTTGTGCATCTCTCTTTTTGCCTCCTCCCGCGCTCCCCTCCGTCATTGTGTCCCTGCTTCCCTGCCTCGTCCCCCCAAACCCCCACGCCTTCCATCTCTCCATTCCTCTGCTGCCACCCTTCCCTCCTGCTCTCGCATCCACTCTCCGTCCTTCCGCTGCATCATCATAATGGTTTCTTAAACTCTTCCCTCCGCTTCGCCCAGCTCTCGTCCAACATCCCGCACCCCCCCGTGTTGGTTTCCGTTTTCTTTCTGTCTGCTCCTCCTCCTTTGTGGCCGTTTTGGCTCAATATGCTTAGTTTTTGGGGCTGTCAGCCTCCGGGCCGCACGGAGCCCGCTAGTCCGCGAACTGCGTTCCGACATACTCGATGCAAGGGTGCTTCGTTTATCGTGCGTCTCCTCAGTTTTGTTCTCGCATGGCGGACGCTGCCCCCTCTGCCTCGCCCGCCGATGGCGTGCTCCGACGTGGCGGCATCCAGAAGCGCAAGGGCCATGGCGATTGCGATCTTCCTGGTGGCCGGGGCGATCGTTCGCGGACACCACCACCCACAGAAGAAGCAGCTCTGGACACCTTCGCCACGATGGCCTACGCCCTCAAGGACAAGCTCGACTCCATGGAGAGCGCCATCAGGGACTCCATGAACTCCTCGGTCTCCTGTGCGATGGGCAGTGCGACGGGCCCCATCACTGCTGCCCTCGCGGCAGCCCAGGCTGGCACCAACGGGCTCTCGATCAAGATCGAGCAGGAAGTCGGAGTCGCCGTCGGTCAGCAGACCGATGCCACTCGGAAGTCGTTCCAGCATCAGTTCGATGCTTTCACATAGCGGATGGCGGACATCGAGAGCCGCCAGGACCAGTCGGACAAGACCATCAAACTCCTGGCCGAACATGTCTCGTCGCTCCAGGAGGCGATCGAGGTTGCGAACAAGCTGCCTGTGCAGGATTAATTGGGTGCGAATTCGGCAGGCAGGTCGACCTCGCCATCATCAAAGCGCATGCTGGCGGCCTGGTCACGCTGGACACGGCCGCGGAGGCACTCACCAAGTGGACCACCGAGTGCGGGATCGACGGGTTCCATTTCCATGTTCATGGCCAAGACACCTCGCGTTTCTCCACGATTCAGTTCGCAGGCCTCCCTGGCCCAGCTTCGCGCCGCGTGCAGAAGGCGCTGAACAGATTGCGCAACCGCGACGGCAGCTGGGCCCTCACCCGCGCGCCCGCGATCGCAGGCAGCGGATCCGTCGAGCTCCGCGTCGGCCCCGACAAGTCGCCCAGACTGATCAAGCCAGAGATCGTCGGCAAGCGTGTTAGGCAGGCTCGCGAGAGGGCGTTCCCGAACCACACTTGGAGGGTCGACCGTGCCAAGGGTTGGGTCTCGGCCGCCCTGGACGCGACGAGGCCACCACAGTCGCATGCCAGGACACTGCCCCCCCCCCCCCCCCCGCCCTCGGCATCACGCGCACGCAGATCAAGGATACGATCAACGACGTCATCGCACCTGAAGCTGCTCCTCAGTTCTGGCTTCGACAAGATTGCCAAGTGTCTGAATCGAGCCTTCGGTGGCCCCACGCCGAGCTTGGGGGTGGGAACGTGGAATGCCAGCGCCCTCCTCAGCTACCAAGGGCGCCGCGTGGTCGAGAAGTCTTCCTACCTCCGCCCCCCCCCCCGTTCTCCAGGGCGATCATCCTCGGCGTCCAAGAGGCCCGCCAGAAACGCGCGCAGCTGCCCGCCGCCGTGAGGAAGATCGGCACCGCGCTCTGCATGCACTCCTCCGTCGCCCCAGGCCACCGCGGTGACGTTGGTGGCGGGGGTGCCGCAGTCTTCCTTGCAGGCCTTCAGGCTGAGAGCGAAACCCCCCATACCTGGCCGCGCGCTGCGCACCGCCTTCCAAGCCGACGACCAGAAGCTGATCTTCTACAACATCCACAATTACGGGATCAACAACGCAGCGACCAGGCGCATCTCGATGAGGACCCTGAACGACCAGCGTCTCGCGAAGGCCGACCCCAGCAGGGTTCTCCTGTTCGTCCTCGGGGACTTCAGCTTCGCTGCCGTCGGGAAGTTGAAGCCCACTGAGCCCTCCTCCAGAACCTCCTCTGAGGCCGCGGAGACGTCCAAAGCGTCGGCACGCAAGTGGCGCGGAGCGCTCGAACACCTGGTGGAGATCGAAGGCAACGACACCACGCACTACTGCGCCGAGACCATGACCGAATTCACCATCGACCGACGCTTTTGCTCCATCACGCCGTCCCAGATGATGCAGTTGGCCGTCGCCTCCACCGCCTTCTCTACCCCCGAGGAGCTGTCTCGCCGTCGGGCCAGCGACCACGCTGCCGCCCTTGTATCTTTCGCCATGCGTGACCCCAAAGCTGAGAAGAACCAGCCCATCGCCCCGTGCAGTATCAAGTCCCCCATCTTCAAGCAGATCGCGGAGAAGGTGTTCAACCATGCCGACCTCGACAAGCTGACACCTCCTACCAGACTGCTTCAGAACATAGGATTTCTCCGAGAGGTCGCTCGTGCCGCTCGGGATCGCACTCGCGAGGGGCATCAGGGCCTTGGGGACGTGCAGTTTCAACTGGCCAAGTCGCTCGCGCGCGCCCTCTGGCGACAGGGTCGCTCGCTCGCTGCCTGCCTTCTTCGAGTCCACGCCAAAGCTCAGGACTTCCTGGACATGTAGTGACCAGGTCAAGCTCGCCGACCCCGCCAAGTTCGAGGTGTGGGCCAGTAACCTCATCCGACAGGGCGCTGATCAACGCCGCGCGGCCATCGACCTGGCTTGGGTCGTCTCCCGCCCGCGCAATCTCGCGCCAAGTCTCAGGCCTTGCAGCGCAAGATCCGGCTCTGGAGCCCCATCAGCAAGCGCTTGGCGCTCACCGGTGTGAAGACGAGCGTCGGAGCTGTGACTGGACCGACCGATGGGCCCCAGAAGCTCGTCGAGCATTGGCAACCCGTCTCCCGGGGCAAGAACGTGGACATCGAGAAGGCCGCCGACTACCTCGACCACTTCGCGCCCAAGATCGACTTCAACAAGTGCAAGCCCCCCCCCCGACTACGACGCGCTCAAAAGATTCGCAAGGCGTTCGTCTTTTGCCTGGCCCGGCGTGGATGGGCTTCCATGCGTCGCCCGGGCCACGCACGAGAAGTGCACGGATACCCGCTGGCACGTCATGCGCTGGATGCTCAACGGCGGCCTCCTTCCCGACGAAGCCATCGCGACGGTCCAAGTTCCCCCCCCCCGAGGGCGAGGATCCAGATGCCACGGAACACGTCGGCTGCCACCGTGACCCGTGCAAAGTGCGAGTTCTGGGGCTTCGGAACACTTCCCGCAAAATCAGCAGCAGCGCGTTGACCGCTGCGATGGCCACGGTGGCTGCCGACGTTGTTCCAGTTTCGCGGCGCGGGTTCATCCACCACCCCAACTTCGGCCACAACATTCTGGAGCTGGACGTCGAGAGCCGCATCGCGTCCGCCGACCCCGATGCCTTTGACGCGCTGCCCGCGCCAGCGTCGCCGGGCATCGCGCGAGCTTTCCCGAGCCTCGCGCACGAGTTCACCCGCCTCGCGCTGAGGGCCATGGGCCATGGGCGACCCCGCGGCGGCCCTGAACTTCTTCGACGCGATGCGCCGCAGCATCCTCGCGATGGCCCCCTGCGCTGGCAGGTGCATCCCGCTCTTCTACATCCGCTCGGGCATCGTCCAGGGCCGCGGGTGGAGCGGCGCGCTCTACGCGATGGGCACTGCCTGCTTCCTCCTCGACCTCGAGGAGAAGCTCAAGCTCGGGGGCCTTGGGATCTGCAGAGCCTGAGCTGACGACCTCGGCCTGGTGCTCATGGCAGTGGCCCATCTTCCCACGTGGCCGAGGTGATGGCCCTGGTGGAAGACCTCGCGGGCCTGGCGCTGAAGCCCGCCAAGTGCGAGTTCGTGCTCAAGCTCAGCAATGCCCCGATCTCGATCGCGCCCCGCTTTCAGGTGTTCAACATCTGCGACCGCCTGACCTACCTTGGACTCCTGCTGGGCCCTGGTGCGACCGAGCAGCTGATCTGCGCGACAGCCTCCCAGAAGTTCCGCTGGCGCACCAAGATGTGCTGTGCCAGCGACGGCCCCTCGATGGGCTCCGCCTACTTGTTCAACAGCCGTGCGCTCCCCGTCTTCAGCTACCTTGCCCAGTGCGCCCCGTTGCCCCACTAGCACTTCAAGTCCGAGAGGTGGGTCAACGCCTCGGTTTTGCGACCCCCCAACGGAGCGTTCAGGGTCAAGGGCCGGCCGAGGCTGAAGGATTGGGGGGTCGCGATCGTCCGAGCTGCCGCGATCCTCCGAGCTGCCGCGTCGACCTTCAGCAAGTTCCCCGAGATCCGTGCGCGCCTCCACCGCGGGCTCGACCAGTACGGTGATGAGCAGACTCTGCTTGGCACCGCGCGGGCAGCCATGCATTCCCCCCCCGCCTTGGTGGAAGATGACGTCCTTCATCGAGGTGCTCCACCAGGTCGTGTCCGCGTCGACGAGCCACCGCTACCACCCGTCCACGCTGCTGGCGCCTGCCTTGGAGCCCGCGCGGGCGGCTCTCGCTGCAGGGAAGCCCGCGCGCGCCAAGTGCTTGGCGTGCGCTGCCGCGCTGGGGGCGCGGGGGCCCGACGCGATCGCGCCGTGCCTGACCTCCAGGATCGTGCTCGAGCTGCCCGGCCTTGCCGTCCTCTTCGAGCACTTCCCTGACGCCGTCGCCAGAGTGAGGGCTGCCATGAGGAAACTTCCGCCTTCGTGGGCGGCCTCCTGGATGCGGACACGATCCTCCTCGTGGCTGACCCCGTGCAGGATCATCAACGAGTGCGGGCGCAAGCCCTGCATCTTCCAGTGCGCGCGCGGCTCCGACTCGATGAAGCACTACCTGACGTGCGAGCTGCCGGCTGTGGCTGTGGCGGCCGCGACACGCGCGCCTGTCCAGACCGAAGCCGCCGCGAACCTCGGGCTCCTGGACGTCTCCAGCGAGAGCGTCGAGCGCGTCGTGGTCGCCTGCGGCAGCGGCACCTACCACATGCTCCGCTCGGACTTCACGGTCGACCCCGAGGCTGCGCGCTCGGCCGCACGTGCTGCGCTGCGGGCCTCGAGGACGACGCACAGGCCCCCGATCCAGCGGGCCCCTCTTCCGCAGGCTGCTGGAACCCTTGCGTCTGCCCTTCTTCCAGTTCGCGAGAATGGAGATCGCCGCTCCCGCCGCGGTCGTCTCCTTCCACCTGCGGGTGCCCGCGTGAGCAGGGGCTAGACACGGAGGCCGAGGCGCGGCCGCGCGCGGGGGCGGGCGGCGCCGTGCCGTCGGCAGGAGACCGAGCGCTTTTGCACGCTCGACTTATCCTCCTCCTCCTCCTCCTCCTCCTCCTCCTCCTCCTCCTACTCCTCCTCTTCCTCCTCCTCCGTAGCCATTTTGGCTCAAGCCATTTTGGCTCGAGGTTGAAACCTGCCCTGGGGCTTCAGCCTTGTCGCAGGCGACAGGGAGGCCCGAACCTTCCGAGGCCAGGACGCCTCTCCCGTTCCTGTCGTGCGCCCCAGCACGCTCCCAGTTTTGGCTACAACGACGCGCTCTGAGGCGCCATGGGCCCTGCCGCCTGCGACCGCCCGCACCATGCCGTGCATCGTCTCGATGGTGGTGATGATGTTGATACGGAGATCGCTTCCTCTGGTGGCCGTGACTCCTCTGAGGAGCCCCGCCGCTCTGCCTCTCGGAGCGGTGGCAGCCGAGGTGCCCGTCGTGCCGCTCGCGCTCGGCCTTCCTCCCACGGCAACGCTGGACCTGCTCCTGAGCCTCCTCGCCGTGCTCGCCGTGCTGGCCGTGCTCGTGGCTCTGGCGGGGACGTCCCACCTTCTCCTGGTGTTGCTGCCTCACATCGGGGCCCCGACCCTGCAGCACAGGGAGCATCTCGGGGTGCTGCCTCCAGCCATGGGGCTCAGGCTATGCCCTTCGAGGAGTGGGATGATGCCAAGCGGGCACAAGTGGCTGCAGACCTGGAGATGGCCGCTACCTTCCCGTCGCAGGAGATGCGCCCCGACCCGAACGCCACCCCGCAGGGCCCCGCTGCTGGGCTCTTCGACCCATGGGCTGCGGCGGCGGGGACTGGCGCTCTCTCGCGGGCTCAGGCTGCTACTGGTGGTGCTGTTGACTGCGGTGATGAGGAGGAGCAAGCCGCCTTCACTCGGGCCTTTTACCATGCCGACATCTCCGCGAGATTCCTGCAGCTGCGCAATGAGTTCGACAACATCGTTACCACGGCCATCACCAACTCCGTCCAGCAGTCGAACGCTCCTATCGTGGCCACGCTCGCCACATTGCAGAAGCAGCTCTCCTCGCAGCACACCTCCATTGATCAGCAGGTCATGGCATCGGTGCGCCCACAGTTCGATACTATGCAGCGCCAGTTTCAAGAGCAGCATGATGCCCTCTGCCGTCGCGTCGACTACACCGAGCGGGACATCGAGGCCCACGCCGCTCAGCTGGCTGAGCTGCAGAAGCAGGTCGAGGAGCTTCGCCGCCAGAATGAGCTGGACCGACAGCTTCCTTCGCGGCCTCCTGCCCCGCCTGGCTTCGACCGCGAGATCGATCCGACGCAGGTCATTGTGGTCTCGTCCAAGCTCGTCGGTCTGGCTGGCGTCCGTGAGGTGGTCAACTCCTTCATGGGCGAGCTCAACTTCTCTGAGGACGACTCGTACACGATCAAGGCCCTCACGCCGCTCCCCTCAAAAAAGTTTGCTGTCTGCTTCTCTGGGCCGATCGGACTTGCCTCCCGCCGTGTGCAAAAGGCCCTTGCTAACCTCAAGACGGACGGCGCCTGGCGGGTCTTCCAGTGCCCGGCTCAAGGTGCTGACCCAGCCCGTCTTCACTTCGGTCCTGACAAGTCGCCGAAACAAGTTCGTGGCGAGATGCTCCTCCGTAAGGTCCGCACTTCCCTCATGGAGCTTGACAGTCAGAGGAGGTGGTATGTCGATCGGGAGCGGAGCGTTCTCAAGTCTGACTACACCGACATCCTTCGTCTTGTCCCACGGCCAGGTGACGAACCACCTGAGCTCTCTTGGAACGACGTGGGGATCCGCGCCCTCGGCCTCGACCGTCGGGGCCTTCAGGGAGCCATTCGAAACATCACCGCTGCGCCGACGGCCACCCAGTGGTGTCTTTAACGCCATTACCAGTATGTTTGTGCTCCCAGTGGGGCAGGTCGGCGGAGAGATCACAGCCAGCCTCACATTCATGACATGGAATGCACGTGCTCTTCTTCAATTTGGTGGGGCGAGGGCCTCGCCTAAGCTATCTTACCTAAGCAGACTGCAGCCTGGGCGATCCATCTTGGCTCTCCAAGAAGTGCATGCAGATCGGTTTGAGTTGAACGACTTTGTGACAAGGCTTTCTTCCACGGCCATTGTCCACAGTAGCTTTTGTGAAGATGACGATGGAGAGGTTGTCCGCGGCTCTGGGGGAGTTGCAGTCATTCTTCCTCCTTTCTCATCTACTTCGGTCAGTAGCTGTGCGGTGCCTCTGATCAGAGGCAGGGTGCTTCGTGTTGATGTGGCACTTGGGCATACACAGCTGGTGATCTTCAACGTTCACAATCACGGCTTGACCAAGGGTGAGGTACAATCTGTCTGTGAGCAGATCGGTTGTGCTCTGCGTCGCGCTGCTGATGACCCACTCTCGTACTTTGTGGTTGTCTTGGGGGACCTCAACTACAGTTTCGATTCTTCTCTTATCTTTCACCGACCTACTGGTGTACAGCGGCAGCAGACCCATGATCATAAGGTTCATGCTCCAATTTGGGCTGCTACACTTGGCAAGATGATGGAAGTTAACTCGGAAGCGGCTACCCACTTCTGCAAGTTCACCAATTCCATCAACATCATCGACCGCTTCTTCTGCTCTGCCACAGGCTGGATGATGTGTCAGCTCATGACCGAGGTCAACACGGTGGACACGCCAGAGCACCTGAGCTCCCAGGGCATCTCTGATCATGCTGCTCTTTCGATTCGGCTGCGACTTCGTGGTGAGCGTCCTGCCTCTGAGCGGCCCATACCCAAGCACATCTTCACCTCTGTTGCCTTTCAGCGCCGACTCCGAGGAATGGTTGCTGATAGTGATGAGGATCTGCTCCGATGGAGCCCACCTGTGGCCACAGAGCACTACAAGTACATGATGAAGGAGGCCGCCAGGGAGGCCCGCAACATCCTCTTCTATTCGGCCCCTGACTTGCCTGGGACGCTGCAACTGGTTGCTCGTGGGATAGCGCGAGCCGTGTGGCGTCAAGACGCTGCCCTCGCCCTCAAGCTCATCGAGACCTCCCAGCACGCCGCCGACGCTCTGACGGTCGACGGCCAGGTCGTCTCGCTGCGCCACGCCCCGTCCTTCGAGCAGTGGGCTGCGGGAGTACATCGGCTGGTCTACGAAAAAGAACTTGCTGCTGCTGCTGCTGATCGTGCTCCCTCAGGCTCCTCCTCTGCTTGGCGGCCTAGTTCGGCCACGCTTTTGCGTGCTCTCGAGAGAAAGGCATCCATATGGGCCCCGTTTTCGAAGCGCCTGATACTGTCCGCGGTCAACACCCCAGAGGGCCCCATCTCAGAGGTTCGGGAGCGCACTGCGGCCCTGGCGGCCTACTGGACCCCTGTCTTCTCCAAGAAAGAGCCCCACCCTGTCATGACCCAGATGTACCTCGATAGGTTCCTCACCAAGGCCTCCGACATCGACCTGCACTGTCCTCTGACCTCAATGTTTCGGAAGGTTCTCCGGCGTGCCCGTCACTCTGCTCCTGGTGTCGACGGGCTGCCCTACGCTGC